TCAGCAACAGACTGGAGAATTGAATCAACGGACCGGTCGCTCGACGCGACAACTGGGGGCTCGTCCGGGATCCTTCAATTTTCTAGTTTCACGGTGTGACTTCTGTCTAGGGGTGCATCGCCTTCACTCCCATTTCTACGCACCTGGCAAAGGCTCCGTACGAACGTAAGTAATGGGCTCCTCACTTTCCAAGGTTTCGTCAGGACATAGGGACGAACTTTACGATTTGGTGAAGAAGGCTAATTCCTTTCAAAAAATCAATGGTACCACTGTGTACCCTATTTCTAAGAAATCTTTAAATAAATTTATAATTTACATAGAGGCACATTGTCCAGCCTATCCCTCTGCGGGAACTCTCCGCCATTCTCTATGGGAAAGATTAGGGAAATATCTACACGAAATTCCTAGAGCTCCCATGGATATACTCATTTCTTGGAGAGCGATAATGGCTGCTATAACCACTGTTTATCCGCCTTCTACTCTTCCTGAAACCTTTTTCCCCTGTTTCCTCTGATTCCCCTTCTCCTTCAAAAACTACTAAGCCTCTTGCGGCTCATCTTGACACAATTTCTTCCTTACCCCCTCCGTATCCTGACATTTCTTTCCCTTCTCCTTCCGCTCCTTCTTCTCTTCCTGACCCTTCTCCGATGAAACCTGTGGGAGGTATTATAACTAATCTTCTGTCATCACCTCTGCCTTTAGAAACAGAAGATCCTTCTGCTTATCCTATGACTATTATCCCTGGTGCAGCGGGAGGCAATGTTCACAGCAACATTGAGTTTAAAGTTTTAAAAAATATAAAAGATGCAGTTACAGCTTATGGATTACACTCTCCTTATACTCGGGGAATACTTGATTCTTTGGTCACCGCTAATACTGTTATGTTACTTTATGACTGGAAAATGCTTTTCTCTATGCTTATGACTCCGGCGCAATATGTTGTGTGGCAATCTGAATATGAAAAAGGTGTTGAGGCTGAAATTCGTAGGGGTTTGCCTGCTGGAGTAACTGTAGATCATTTAATGGGAAAAGGTCAATCCTCTACTCTAGCACAACAACAAAATTCCCCCCGTCGCAGTTTTGCCATTATTCATATATGTGCTATGAATGCCTTAAAGCGAGTGGATGATTCAGATTCGCAGTCCACCCAAGCATTTTTGAAAATTATGCAAAATCCTGATGAGCCATATGCTTCATTCATCAGTCGCCTCAGACAGCCCTAGATCGACAGATAGATAATTCTACTGCCAAACAAGAGTTACTTATAAAATTGGCTTTTTCCAACGCAAATCATGACTGTCAAAAAATTCTACAGCCAGTCGCTAATAAGCCAGGCGTGACATTGGCTGAGTTTTTACAACTCTGTAGAATTGTAGGAACAACCACTCATAAAATGAATACGCTTGCTACTGCTATCACTGCTTCATTACCGGATCCTAATTCCGCCTCCACTTCTCCTCCCGATGCTTTTGCTGTAACACGCAACGGCAATTGTTTTAACTGTGGCAAGCCCGGACATTTTAAAAATCAATGTCGTATGCCAGGGGGTGGGGCCGCTCTTCGTGGCCAAACCAGAGGTCCACCTCCCTCATCTAAGCCACAAACCATCTGTCCTCGCTGCCGGAAAGGCTATCATTGGGCTTCACAATGTCGTTCTAATCCTCCTCTCGCTCAGCCTTCGGGAAACTAATTGAGGGGTCTTCAGCTAACCCCGCCACAAAGGCTGAATTACCTGCCACAACATTTCCTGTTGTGCTGTTAGAGGATCTTGTGTATGATGATCCTGGCGCTGTTTTCACTCTTCCTTTAACTACAACGCTTTTCAAACCTCTGCCTCCTTCCACACCTGTCTTACTTATTCCCAATTCTTCCCTTACCATAGAGGGTGTGGTTGCCGCTCCTTACTTATATGATTCTTCTGCTCTTAATAATCTTGCTTTGGCTGCAATAGGGGATCGTTGCTTTTCTTTAAAAAAGGGGACAGTAGTGGCTACGCTTATAATTTTGCCTCTTTTTGAACCTCTCTCCTTGTTTGCATTACAGCAGCCTGTCCAAGCTTCAAAACCCACTCTTTCTGTCACACTCAATGGTCGCATTTTTGATGGTCTGATTGACACCGGTGCAGACGTTTCTGTTATTCGTTCCTCTGAATGGCCCTCTTCTTGGTCTCTCACAGAAGCTTCTTCAGTGCAGGGCGTAGGTGGGGCCTGCTAAGGTCAGCTCTCATTGGCTCTCTGCTTCTACTAAGCATTCTACCTTAACTGCTTATCTTAAACCCTATATCCTTCCTCTACATTGTAACCTCTGGGGACGTGATTTACTCTCTCAATTTCAGGCTTATATTCAGCTACCATAGTTTTTCTATCTAAATGTCCATTTCTCCTTTATCCCTTACTCTTAAAACCTCTATTCCTGTTTGGGTGGATCAATGGCCTCTCACCAAAGAAAAATTGGAGGCTTTACATCTTCTTGTCCATCAACAGTTAACAGAGGGACATATTGAATCATCCACCAGTCCTTACAACACCCCTGTCTTTGTCATTAAAAAGAAATCTGGCAAATGGCGCCTCCTTAATGATCTCAGGGTCATTAATTCCATTCTTCAGCCCATGGGACCCCTGCAGTGTGGCCTGCCTAATCCTAATTTGATCCCAGCTGGATTTGATCTCATAATAATAGATTTAAAGGACTGTTTCTTTTCCATACCTCTGGCACAAAAAGATAGGATCATCTTTGCCTTTACAGTACCAGAGCTTAACAACTCTAAACCCACCTCTCGGTATCAATGGAAAGTTCTTCCACAAGGTATGCTAAATTCACCAACTATGTGTCAATTTTTTGTCAATGAGGCTCTGCGGCCTTATCGATCTCAATTTCCTAGTTTTCTTGTATATCATTACATGGATGATATCTTAATCGCTGCCGATGGGCCAAAGGGGACGGTCCAAAAAACCTTCCCGATCCTCTTGACCACATTAGCAAAAGCAGGGTTACATATAGCACCTGAAAAAATCCAGTCTCACTACCCGATGCAATATTTAGGCCACAAGGTTTTAGCTTCCACAGCATCTCCACATATCCCTTCACTCACACTTCCCCAGCCAACCACGCTGGTCCAATTACAGCAGTGCTTGGGGGTTATTAACTGGGCTCGACCATATCTTGCTCTAACCACACATATGCTATCACCACTCTTTCAAGCACTAGTAGGATTGAAAAATCCAGCAGATAAGGTCTATCTTTCAGATCAGCACCTAGAGGCTTTACAACAAGTAAACACAGCCCTAGCCACCCGATGGGTAAACCGTGCACTCACAGACACACCACCTTCTCTTGCTATCCTTTCCACTCATCAACTACTGACTGCAATAATTGTCCAAATATCAGATGCAAGAAATCTTCATATCTTGGAATGGCTACACCTAACACACACTCCAAAAACATCTATTTTTACTAGAGCAGCGCAAATGGCCTCTCTTATAGAAAAAGGGCGTAAGAGAACCAAAGCCCTGATGGGAATGGATATTTTTACATTGTATATTCCTTTTAAGATCACTCAATGGGAACCTCTTTTTCAGACTTCCACAACCCTGCAGGACGCGTTGGAAGATTGGTGTGGCCAAGTGTCGTGCCACCTTCCCTCTGATTCATGACTGCAGGTGTTGCGGACAGTTCCTTTTGTTTTACAATCACCTTTTGTCCAACAGCCATTGAAGGAAGGCTTCACTGTATTTACTGATGGTTCAAAAAATATTGGCGCATGTACATGGTACGAAAATGCTCAATGGCATAAACGTTTAACTACTTCACAAACATCAGCACAACAAGCTGAATTAGCTGCCTTCCTATTGGCGTTGTCTCTTTTTTCACAACAACCTTTAAATGTAATATCTGATAGCATGTATGTTACCCAGATGGTTGCTCATATTTTTGATGCATATATCTCCCCTGTTACCCCTCCCTCTCTCATGACACTTTTTTTGCAGCTTCAGACCCTGTTGAAAAAATGAGGGAAACCCTTATTTGTAGCCCATATCAGAAGTCATCAGCAATTGCCTGGATTCCTAGCAGAAGGCAATCATATGGCAGACGAGGCTTGTAAAATTATGGCCTCCTCTCCCCTTCTCCAACAGCCTTCACCTGGGGAGAGTCATGATTATTTTCATCAAAACAGGAAAGCCCTAGTGCGACAATTTGGAATTACATATCAAGAAGCCACGGCAATAATTCAACAATGTCCAACATGTAGCTTGCAGGCCAAAGGTATCCCCGAAGGCGTTAATCCCAGGGGTACTCAAGCCTGTGATACGTGGCAAATGGATATCACTCATTATCCTCCCTTTGCTCCCTGGAAATACATTCATGTATCAGTAGATACTTATTCAGGGTTTATTATAGCTACATTGCAAAGAGGAGAGGCTACCAAAAATGTTATTAATCACTGTATTCGAACATTCGTAACGTTGGGATGTCCAAAAATTCTCAAAACAGATAATGGTCCTCCTTATGTCAGCTCTCCCTTTGCTGAGTTTTGTCATAAATGGGCCATTACCCATAAGTTCGGTTTACCCTTCAACAGCCAAGGTCAAGCGATTGTGGAGAGATCGAACCAAACTTTGAAACAGGCCCTTGATCGGCACTTGGGGAAAAAAGGCTCAGGCCCCCCGAACCTCCCAACGTTGCAAAATATCTTAAATGTTTGTCTTTATACTCTTAACTTTCTCAATCTTACTGGCTCTCCTCCTGCCACGGCGGCTTCCCGCCACTTCACCAAGCCAGTAGTTCCCTCTTCCCGTCCTCTTGTCTATTTCAGACAGCTTCCAGATCCTGCGTGGAAAGGTCCTGCACAGCTCATCACCTGGGGAAAGGGTTACGCTGCTGTCCAACTTCCTGATCGAGTGCTTTGGGTTCCTGCTCGCTGTGTCAGACCTTACCATGGCAAACCTGACTCTGATCCTAATCTTTCTTCTGATATCGATACTTCCTGTCTTTTCTCAATTTAGGGCATCTCCTGATGCTATTTTTGCTTTCCTTGCTGACACTGTTACCTTTGTTTTTAAAGATAATCTCCTTCCTGCATGTAATTATGTTTTCCAACACAACGGTCGTTTCCTTCCTCCTACTTCTGACATAACTGTTCACTATTACTATTCTCCTTGTTTAATCTTTTTAACTATACATGTCACTCCGCTTACTATAGGTTCCTATTCTTGCTTGGGGTTTTTCCACAATCACACCTATTTCAATCACACTGTTCTATTGCTTTCCACTCCTTCAGTGGCATCTCCTCCACTATCCTCCGTTTTCCTTACATTGCCCTCTCTAGCTAATTCTGAGCCACCTTTTCCTGGGGACAAACTACGATGGCATCTTCGTTGCTGCTTTCCACCTTGTGATGTCACCACCTGCATATGGCATCATCCATCTTCCTGGGTTCCTGATCGCTACAAACCACCTGTCGCGCGAAGACGCCACCTCATCTATGACGACACTCATCGCAAGACTACGGCTCTCATTCGAGCTCGCCATCTTCGGTATCCTGCAGTCATCGGTGACAGCTCCATCTCTAACGCCATGGAATGTTTGCAACGCTCTCCAATAAAGAAGAAGGGCACCTTTTGGCGCTGGTTCCGTAATGACACACTGCTTGCAGAGGACACTCACTATTCTATTACTTCTTATTTTCATGCCACCACATTAGTCCTATGGAAAGTTCAACCCAGTGACTTTGGACAATACCAATGTGAAATTACAAAAATGGTCAAGGGGTTCGCCACTTCCTCTCGATTGACTCTTACCTTGTTCCAGCAGCCTGCGTTTCATGCTATTCCACGATTTGGCTATCGTCGCACTCCTCGAAGCATACAATCATCTTCTACAAATGAACATCAACCTCAAACTTATACCTGGACTATCCTTAACTTTCAAGGAAAAATTTTAAATACCACCACTAACTATACTCGATGGCCATGGTTTCCTCCGCTTTTCATGGATTTTGCTGAAATGGGAACAGGAATCGAAAAATTCGCAGACAAAAAATTGCAAGCTGATACATGGGACAAGCAAGGCTCCTGCTCTCCAGCACCTGCTGACAACTATAGACTATATTTTTGCCCTGCCCACAGTACCGGCACTTCTCGTTCCGCCTGCGGTGGGGTAGTTGACAGATATTGTAAAAAATGGAGTTGTGTATCCACAGGTCATATCTGGTGGGAAGCACCTACCAAAAATGACTATATCCATATTACCCGTGCCCAAACACAGCCTCCCTGCTCTCCATGGCCTTGTTGCGGACAGAGAATGAATCCACTCATAATCACTTTTACTGCACAAGGAAAGACACTTGCAAAAAAACAATGGATGGTTGGGTTTACTTGGGGAGGGCGTCAGTGGGATGGTCAAGGAGATGAAGGGAATGTTTTTACAATTCGCCTCTCGATATCCATGTCCACTTATGATGTCTAGATTTGTTATTTCTAAACAAAGGGGGATTATGTGTAGCAATAAAGGAAGAATGTTGTTTTTATGCTGATCATTCAGGAATTGTCAAAGATTCCATGGCTGAATTACGTAAACGTTTGAAGGATAGAGAGAATGAACGACAACAAGGTCAGCCATGGTATCAAGGCATGTTTAATTTTTCTCCCTGGTTAACCACCTTATTGTCTGCCCTAATAGGTCCTCTTGTGCTATTGCTTCTTGCCTGTACTATTGGCCCATGTGTACTAGGACGCTTACTTACCTTTTTGAAAGATAGTTTGAATACCCTTGATAATGAAGTTAACAATACTCAAAAATCGGTTAGCTTTCTCACATCTATCATTGCATCAAAAGATCTTGCCAAAAAACCCTTGCTGGAATGGTCCTCTGACCTAGAGTCAGAGGAGGAAATAGACACTACTAACTCCTTTTCTCCCAAAGAAATTTTGTTAACTCTGCCCAGCCACGATTCGGGGGATGAGGACTTTTCCTCGTATGAGTTGGTTCTGCAAGGCATCAACAAACCGAAGGGTTTGTTGCCACCTTATGGGACTACTCGGGAGGAGAAAGGACTCTACCTAGAATCATGAGCACAAAAATAAAGAAAAGGAGGAATTGTGGCTATTCTGCCTTAGCTATTTTGCCATAGAACAAATCTTGCCCAGCACGTACACCACTCAGGGCAAATTCCACTGAAACTGACAGGATTAACTACAAAAGTCTGTGTCAGCTAGAAACTGTGTATTTGGTATTAGGACATGTCTACCCGAAAACTATCAGTCATGTAGTCTGCTCTTTGTGTCACGTATCTTGGTTGTAATGATTAACCCTGTGACTTCTTTGTTTCCTGCAATCACCCCGCACCCCCGTTTTGAAAACAGCACAATAAAAGGGGACAGCGCAAAGCAATCGGGGCCGGGACCATTCCATCTGCCCCAGGCGCGATGTGTTTCCTCACCTAAAGAAACTGTTTGTTTTGTGTCTTTTTCTTTGTGCCTTGGCACTCACCCTCGCGAGGGTCCCGCTAAATTATTTCTTGAAAGGAATTCAGCAACAGACTGGAGAATTGAATCAACGGACCGGTCGCTCGACGCAACAGTAAGGATTATTCTCTATACTATTCATGTTGTATTGTATTTTCTATTATGGATTACACCAGTAGAGGCTAAACCAATTTCGTTGTATACATGATGTACAATGACAATACAGGCTATTACTATTACATAGAGGAGTTATTAAGGGCACTTATGCATGCTTTGAATTTGGCCATAAGCTGTTAAATTGGGACCTATTTTGACAAGTAGAAGATAGACATTGACAGATAGTAATAGAGCATTATTAAAAATGGCAATACACCACATGAATCAATCAGGAGACTCTCTAGTTGTAGCTAATGTAGTTTATTGATTGGAGATCTTTCGAGGTCATTACTGGTGAAACATTCCTGAGGTTAACTGAATTCATTTGGTTACAGTTAAGATTTAAAGTGATAATGCCCTCTTGGGAAGACTGATCCAAAGGCAGGCTTTGTGCAAAAAAAACCAATACCAGGAACATTGAGAAGGTGCTCAGAAAGGCTTTATTTCTCCCCCCGTTAAGTAGCCCTCTCATGTTTGCTGTTTATGACTGTTTGCAGGTTTGAGGATGTTGATTGCTTATAGCCACTTATATTTGTAAATGGAGTTAAACTGCCATTAAAAAAATAACGGCATGCATTTTTAAATTTTTTAAAAGAAAGATCACAACGGCAACCTTGGGGCTCCTAGACAGATTTCCGAAGAAAGAGGTTTTTAATATTCCGGGATTGGCTGGGCGCAGGGGCTGCAGATTCCCCATTCTGACTCCCCAGGGCCAGCGCTCCTGGCAGTGTACATCCACGCGGACAGGTCCTTTTCCAGCGGCTGCCCCGCCGCCACCACTGGAACGGCCAGGCAACTCGAAGCTCGCGGAATGCCTCGCGAGGGGGGGCGCTGAACACCATCGGGTCCCGATTCCTAGAGCTACAAGTTCCCGGCCGCCAAGTCTGCACCGGATGCGCGTCCCGTCGGGTTCCGTGCGCTGCAGCATCGAAGGCGGCGCTACATCCGGTAGCGATGGAGGAGGCCTCCGAGTCTCGCTCCGAAGCTGCGGAGGCTTCCTACCCTCCGCAAACGGCGGCGGAGACGGAGGAGCTGCGCGGGTGGAGCGAGGCGCAGTTCCGGCACTACAGCTTCGCGACGCGGCCTATCGCCCGGCTGCGCCACGGAGACCCACGCGCCGAGGAACTGCTAGAGAACGAGGTGACGGAGGACGCTGCCTCGGGGATTGGGGAACTTGAGCCGCCTATTCTCCTCGCGCGGGGCCGGGGATGGGGAACGGGTGTCACTTCGCTTCGGCGGGCTCCTTCCGTCCGTGACCTCCGCTCTGTGTTTGCTTCCAGGAGCCGGTGGTGCTCACCGACACCAATCTGGTTTATCCCGCCTTGAAGTGGGACCTGGATTACCTTCAGGAGAATATTGGGAGTGGGGACTTCTCGGTGTACCGAGCCAGCACCCACAAATTTCTGTACTACGATGAGAAGAAGATGGCAAACGTGAAAAACTTCAAACCGAAGTCCAGCAGAGAGGAGATGAAGTTCAGGGATTTTATGGCACAACTCCAGGAAACCGAGCAGCAGGGAGGCGGAGAAAGGTAATAACAACACCTGATGGTCGCTTGATAGTCAGAGGGCTAAGGTGGGATTTGCTTCTGGCTATAAATGATCTGCTGGGTTGCTGCGTGGTGCAGTAGCTCCTTTGGATAATCTTAACCAGACCTCCAGGGTGGAAAGGGGTCTGTTCTAATGCAGAAGGACCTTAAGCTCAGTGTTATGGGTTTAGAACCTGTTTGGTTTGGGTTTTGGTTTTGGTTGTAGGTTTTAGGTTTTAGTTTAGTTTTAAGTTTAGTTTATTGTCATTGCACCTTGTACAATGAAATCAAACACCATCTTCAGTGCATATCATGACCATGAAAATAAACACAAACACACCCTTCACCCTCCACACATTGAATCAAAACACACACACACACACACACACCCATACCGCACCAACACTGCACTATACAGTAGAATTCAGCAGAACTACTGCCCTGGGATAGAAGCTGTTATTCAGCCTATTTGTCCTGGTTTTTATTATTCTGTATCGTCTGCCAGATGGCAATAGTTCAAAAAAAGGGTGCCCAGGATTAGATGGATATTTGAGGATGTTTTGAGCTTTCTTAAGGCAGTGGGAGCTATAAAGCTCTTCCAAAGAGGGGAGAGGGCAACCCATGATCCTCTGGGCAATGACGTTAACCTTCTGGAGTGCTGTCCTATCTGCCACTGTGCAATTGGCAAACCATACAGAGGTGCAGTAAGTTAAGATACTCTTTATGGTGCAGTGGTAGAAGGTCAGCAGCAATTTTTCAGTTTTTTTGGAAACTGAGGAAGTAACAGGGGTACTGGGCTTGATTCATTGGGGAGTTAAGCAAGCAAAAATTTCCAAATCTCCTTTAAAGAAAATGGGCGTAGCTTGGAATTTGAAATAACAGGCTGTTATACAGATCTAATGAGATAAGGGAGTAAACATGGTAGTATTTTTCAGGCACAACAGAAATATTGGAGAAGGGAACAATTTGAAATATTAAATTTAATTTTTGAGGAAGTCCTTCACAAAATGAACCTTGAATCTGTTCATAAAGAACATTTGTTTCATTGAAGGCAATTCATATACAAGGAATATTTTGTGCTATTTATGCATAGCTTATTTCATTGAAGAAAGAGCTTGTTTAACCGAAAAAATGTATAATCCATAGCATCAGACTCAGTATGTATCATATTTTTGCTTTATATCTCTACGTTGTGATGCATGGCTATTTTGCCACTTTTTGCATTGTAATCTGCCTATCATAAAAGAAATACTCCACATGCAGTGGATGCAATTGGAGTAGTTTTGTAGTAGGATGTTATTTTCTTATATTTAATAACAGATATTAGTAACTGTAATGTGGTCCCTAAATTGTTTTAGCCTCTCGTGAATGTTTTTCCAAAAAAGGACTGATGTGTTTACACAACAAACAATCTGATGTGTAGGCCATGTAAGTTCACCCAACATGCTAAGTCATCATCCATGCACACACAAACCCTTTCCAATGCACCTGTTGCATCTTTAACCTAATTCTGTTGTATGAGCACAGTAAAATGTATACTTACATAAATGCATCTTTTTAGTCACACTCTGCTTTCCCACTGTTGTTTACTATTGTGGTAGTTGCTTTTTGCCATGTTTTGATCCTTGTTATTCTAGGTGCAGATACATTTTCTATTGCCTTTTTATCTGTCAGGTGTTTCTGCACTGCCATTCCAAATCCAGCAAAATTACCCAGCAGTTAAAGCAAACTTGTTTCCTTTCTTATGTTTCAGTTTTGACAGATTGGAAGGCAGCAGACCTCTGGCTGTATGCTGTTCCTTCCTGTCCTCTCTCTTTCCTTTCTGAGGAATATTCTGCACTCATGTGGTGGCAGAGGAGGAGGCAGTGACACTGCTGTGTAGGCCCAGAACTCTGTTGCTTTCCTGCTGCTGAAGGTAAACATTATTTAGTTTTTTTTAAAAAAAATCAGAACAATTTTTTTTCAGTTGTGAGGTGGGCTTAGCAAGTAAATCTTATCTCTTGACACTGCTTTGCCCAGTATAGGTTAGTGATATTGAAAGTTCAGAAGTCCAAAAGAATTACTATGTTGAATTACCCACACTTCTGATCATCATAATTTATACAGGACCCTAGGAACATAAGATTTTATTCTTTTTTCATGGACCATTAGTCATTTTTGGTAATTTAATGCTCATAACAAGTCTTTTTCCAGCTCTGTAAGCTAGGTTTTGTTACCATTTCTATAAGAACTATACAGTTGATTGACAGACAATGCAAGAGCTAATTGGATATAGCTTTGCACACATATTTGCATTTCTTTTTTTATTATTTTTGGTATATACAGGTTATATCTTCAGCAGACCTTAAATGACACAGTTGGAAGGAAAATTGTGGTAGATTTCCTGGGCTTTAATTGGAACTGGATTAACAGACAGCAGTCGAAGCGAGGCTGGGGTCAGCTGACATCCAACTTACTTCTGATTGGCATGGAAGGTAACCAACTTGCCTCTTTGGACAAGTCATTTGGTTTTAATAGTCATTTAGTGCTACCTGTTGAGGAATTCCTATGGACAATATGTCAGTGTTAGGTAACTGAATTTGGGTGGAGTGCTTTCTTCTCAGTTATAATCTTACCTAATACAATATCCTCAACATGTTTCAGTTAGACTAAGAGGAAGAGTCCAGAGATTTGGTTGCTGCAGTTAACCTGGAAGCTAACAAACAAGAGCCAAATTTTACTAAAAATTATGTGGTGATAATCAGATATTTATTTATTTATTTGATTTATATTGCCGCCTATTCGCCCACGGCGACTCAAGGCGGCTTATACAATGTAAAATCATATTTAAAACAAAAAATAAAAATAAAAACAATAAGAACCCACAAAAAGAATCAAATAAATTAGTAAAATACAATAGAACAAAATTTGGAAAAAAACCAAAAACCAACTCCCACCCTCCCACCCCAATGACAGCAGGTCACACTAGCCATCTGATCGGTTCCATCCCTCTCTGGGTTCCCTAGGCCTGTTGGCAAAATCAAGTCTTCAGTGCCTTTCGGAATAGTATTAACGAGAGGGCCATTCTAATCTCTGGGGGAATGATGTTCCAGAGAGATGGAGCCACCACAGAGAAGGCCCTTCTTCTAGGTCCCACCAGGTGTATCTCCCTCAGTGATGGGACCCGTAGCATTCCCTGCCTCCTCGCTCTAATGGGTCAGGTAGTTGTCACTGGCAAGAGATATTTCCTCAGATAACCCAGACCCAAGCCATGAAGGGCTTTAAAGGTGACAACCAGCACCTTGAATTGCACCTGGAAGCAAATTGGCAGCCAATGCAGCTCCTGCAGGAGAGATGATACATGTGCACACCCGGGTCTGCACAAAACCATGCGGGCCGCTGCATTTTGCACAAACTGAAGCTTCCAGATGCTCTTCAAGGGCAGCCCCATGTAGAGCGCGTTGCAATAATCAAGACGGGAAGTGACCAGGGCATGAGTGACTGTTGGTAGGGACCGCTGATCCAGGAAAAGGCGTAACTGGTGCACAACCTGCAGTTGCGCAAAGGCCCTCCTGGCCACAACCACCACCTGCTCTTCGAACAGGAGTCGTGAGTCCAGGAGAATCCCCAGATTACGCACAGGGTCTGTTTGGGGTAGTGCCACCCCATTCAAGACTAAAGGTGGTAATTCTCCCTGAACCAACGAACCCCAGACCCAGAGCTACTCGGTCTTGCAAACGGTTTAGTTTCAACCGGTTGCTCCCCATCCAGCACCTAACAACCTCCAGGCATTGCGAGAGGGAGGACACAGCAACACTTAACTCACCACGGACCGAGACATACAGTTGAATATCATCAGCATATTGGTGATACCTCAGTCCATGGTGATGGATGATCTCACCCAGCAGTTTCATATCCATGTTGAACAGGAGCGGAGAGAGTACTGAGCCCTGTGGAACCCCGTAAAGCAGTATGCAAGGGTTGGATCTCTCCCCTTCTATCAACCCTGACTGAGAGTGGCTGCAGAGGAAGGAAGTGAACCAAGACAGCACAAGGCCTCCCACTCCCATCCCCTGAAGCTGTCCCAGGAGAATCCCATGGTCAATGGTATCAAAAGCCGCTGAGAGGTCAAGTAGAGCAAGGAAGGATGCACTACCCCCATCCCACTCCCGCCAGAGATTATCCAAAAGTGCAACCAATGCTGTTTCTGTCCCAAATCCAGGCCTGAATCCTGACTCGTAGGGGTCGAGATAATCCGTTTTATCCAGAAACCTCTGGAGCTGCTGCGCGACCACCTTCTCTACAGCCTTCCCCAAAAAGGGAAGATTGGAGATAGGTTGGAAATTATCCAACCGGGTGGAGTCCAGCGATGGCTTCTTAAGAAGAGGGCGGACCACAGCCTCCTTAAAGTGCTGGAGCACCTTCCTCTCCTGTAGAGAAGCATTAATCACCTCCAGAGTCCACCCGCCTGTCACCTCCTGGGAAGCTTTCACAAGCTAGGAGGGACATGGATCTAAAATACAGGTGCTCATGCACATACTCCCTAGGATCCTGTCCACTTCCTCAGGAGCAACAGGGTCAAACCGTTCCCAGATAACAGGGCAAGAACCTGCCTCAGAAGCTTCCACTGGATCAGCAACCATGCCGGCATCTAACTGGGAACAAAATCGAGCGATTTTGTCTTTGATCTGCAAATTCCTCAGTGCGCCCTTTCAGGTGGACCTCAATCTCCTCCTTCCCTAAGAGGAGACAGCTCACCTTAAAGATATGATCCCAGGTTGCTTGGATTTAATTAATCCTTGACTCATGGCCATTCATTCAGCAGCCATTCAAAATTATGGTTCTGAACAAAGGGATTTATGACCCTTGCTTGAAGTTGTGGCCATTGTAGTCTCCCCATCCTATCCTACTGGGTCCCTGTAGGTTTTGGGGCAGCTTTCTATTCCACTGGATCTTTGCCTCCCCATGACACTTACCTTTTCAGTAGATCTTTGGGAAGCAGCAGCTCCATCGTACAGTCTTCCTACACAGTGGAGGCTGTGTGGCACCATCCTGGAAGTGGCACCATTTTGGTAGCATTTGCAATTGTGGGACGAAGTTTGTGCACCCATTCCCAATAATTTATGGTACAGACCTATTGGAAATTAAAGTTCACATTTTGTAAAATAATTTCAGAAATTTGTCTTGGTCTTTCTTTATGCAGGAAATGTGACACCAGCTCACTATGATGAACAGCAGAATTTCTTTGCTCAGATTAAAGGATACAAACGATGTATTCTATTTTCACCAGACCAGTTTGAATGCCTTTATCCTTATCCTGTGCACCATCCATGTGACCGTCAAAGCCAGGTGAGATGACAACTAGCCAAATAGCATTTTTTGTCTTAAGACTACAAAGCATAACTTTTAATGCTGGTTTATTATAGAATTTCTATATACCTTTGTTTTCCTCTAACCATCTGCCTGAGGAGGAGTCTGAACCACGATGTCTGTTTTAAAGTTATTCAAATGATCATACAATGCACTTAACGCAATCATAGAAAGTTAATGTATCAAGAGAAAGAATATGAAATATATTTTTGAAAGACAGTAACAGTGTTAATGACAATACAACAATTGACAAAAGTGATATAAAATACTGATTAGAATGGCTATAAATATAAACAAGATATGTACGATAATGTTACTATGTGCACAAGATATATGTACCTAACCGACACACTGTTGAACAGAGAGATGGTTTTATTTGTTTTTGTTATAAAAATAAAAAACCTTTTCAAAAAAAGAGAGTTAATGTATCATAAGAATATCCTTATCCAGACAACTAAAGCAGTCAACCAAATCTTTATCGAGGTAGGCTGGGAAGTGTTAGCCTCATACAACTGCAGGGCTGTTTGGTGATAAAATAAAAGGGTAATCTAAAATGTTCACTAGAGATTAGCACTTATTTAATTATCTTGTGAGACAGCTCTGTAGATAACTTCAAAAAGAATTATTTTTAGGTTTTGCATTTCTGTTTCAACTGTCTGTAGACTCCTCCAGACTCACAGAGGGTACTATAGAAAGAGTGAGGCTGGATAAATCTTCTTCATTCTGTCTATAGGTGTTTCATATTGGACCTTCTAACATATTACTTTGTAAAGTTCTTTGTAAAGTTGGAGGATTAGGAATTGACAATGCCCCAGTTTCCTTCCCAGCAGCTGAAGAGACTACAATAACAACAAACAACAGTTTCCCATGTGACTTAGTCTTAACTGTACACTTTTAATGCTCAGAAGTAAATGAATTGACTCTGGAAGAAGATGACTGGTCATTGCTACATGAAGACATTTAGCACCTTGCTTAAAAGGTACAGTTTAGACCAAGGGGTCTTCAAACTTGACAGCTTTAAGACTTGTGGACTTCCAACTCCCAGAATTCCTTCTCCAGTCATGTTAGCTCAGGAATTCTGGGAGTTGAAGTCCACAAGTCTTAAATTTGACAAATTTGAAGACCCTTGGTTAGAATCAGACCCCAAGCCCCTGCCTGGAATACAAATTAAAGCTGGAGTGGATCTAGATCATGAGTCCACATCATGTCTTGAATTATACATTTCATCATCCTTAACTGTTAGCTATGATGTTTTTGGCTGATGGGATTTGGTCTAGTTCCCAACAATTTGCTTCATCCAAAAATATTTGGAGATACATTGTCTCCACCTTCTTCAAGAACTCTGTCTCCAACAGGATATTAATGATACTAATTCCTGTTGTAGAAGAGTTGGCCATCTTTAGATTCACCCAGTAGTCACCTGCTGGTATTCATTGAAGTCAAAGTTAGTCAATAGTAAAGCACTGAGAGAAGTAGCTGCAGCTTCCATGCAATTTATCCATAGTTTTGGTCACTTGAAATTGCACATAGAGATGAATTAATAAAATTAGGGGAGATGCCAATCATGCACCAATGTTTCCATCTCAGCCTTCTCTTTGAAGTGCCAAGTGAGATTCAAACACCAGGTTTGCATTTAAGGATTCCACCAACCATTCAGAAAGTATGTAATGGATGTGGATGCTGTGCTTTGATATTCTCATGCTTGTTTCAGCATCCTGGTTCCTCAGTAATCAGGGTACTCTGCAATAAAGGAGAGGATATTTGAGGGCAGCTAAATAGACCATCTCTTCCATTTCAACAATCTGCTGGTGAGATCATTGTTAATCTCCAGTTAGCTCTGCAGCTCATTATATCCCTCTGTTGGTCTTTCTAAATTGGTTCCCCAATTTGCTGAGTTTAAAAAGCTCCAGAAAATTTACAGTTATATTATATAACTTATAATATTTATATAATATAAATATATTTATATAATATAAACATATAAATATTATATTTATATAATATAATACTTATAAAATTTATATAATATTATATAAAGTTATATTAGCTGTCAGCAGTGCTGATTTATAATCCTTCTGGGCTATTGTCTTGAGCTGAATGTTTGCAGTTTATCTCAGACATCTCAAGAATGATTTACTTGGTTATTAGACAATAAGACCAGATTTAATCTTGATTTTTATTGGTATAGCAGAATCCTCCCAATCAGTGCCATATAAATACCTGGTAGTTTATGTGTTCTGTGCTTTTCTTTGGTTGATTACATCTTAAAATAATAAATACAAATGCTAAGTACAGTTATTCACAATCAACAAAACCAGTAACTAGTGGGAAGTAGAGTACATTGTCTTGAAGGTGGTGATTTTTATCTCTAGTTCTCTTTTTGTTAAAGTTAGTAAAGAAGTTCATTTTCTCTGAAGTAGCTGGGGTGGGAAGTAGAGGGAAAATCATTATATTATCTCCAGTGACTTCAGTGATGCCTTCTTCTCTCCTGCTAGGTTGACTTCGACAATCCTGATTACGAGAAGTTTCCTAATTTCCAGAACATAGTTGGCTATGAAACAGTAGTTGGCCCAGGCGATGTGCTTTATATTCCCATGTATTGGTAATACATTTAGGATGAGAATGGGACAGAATGAGCTAGTATGATTCTGCAGCAGAATCATTTTAGGGAACAAAGGGGTTTTTGGTCAGAGGCTCTGAATCTTGTGCCTTTTATTCTGACTAGGATAGATATATATTTTTCTGTTTGTAAAGTGCCTCCTGCAGGAATAGCAATAATCCTTGATACTTGTTCATATGCAGAAATATTGGTCCCTTTTTCTACTATAAGATTTACATTTGAGACACATCCTTATATGTTCTTATAAACATCTACTATGACAGTTTTGGGGAAGCAACTGAATGAAGCAATTATCCAGACCATTATCAAAGTTGCATTTACAGATACAGGTGGTCTTTGTTTAATACCTGCCCTGTTTAGTAACCATTTGAAGTGATAATGGCACTGAAAAAGTAATGTTACAACTGATCCTTGCACATGTGACTGTTGCATGTTGCAACATCCCCATAGTCATTTGATTGAGATTCAGCCACTTTGCAACCGGCAAGTAATCATTTGATTTGATCTGATTTTATGAACATTTTTTACCATGGTTGTTAAGTGAATCATCATGGTTGTTAAGCAAGTTCAACTTCTGCTATTGACTTTGCATTTTGGAAGCTGGCTGCGAAGGTTGCAAATCATGATTGCAAGGTGCTACCTTCACTGCAAAAGCAAGCTGGTTGCTGAGCGCTCAAATTGCAATCATGTGACTGAGAGTGATCATATTTTTTAGGGTGGGTTGCAAGTCACTTTTTTCAAAGCCATTGTAACTTTGAATGGCCGTTGAATGATCACTAAGAAGGAGGACTATCTGAATATTTTCTAATGCATATACATGTACAAATGGTTGTTTATTCATTAGATAACTAAGAACAAAAAAGTATAATAAATTATAATTTCCCCCCAAATGAAGAGGAATAAAAGAACTAAATTACAATTTAATTATTATAAAACATGTTTAGTATTTTTGTCAAACTAGTATTAGAAATGTTAAAATCTAACCGTTTTAAATTAGGAATATTAAAAGAATTATCTTCTGTGGCTTGATATAGGTGGCATCACATTGAGTCATTGCTGAATGGAGGAATTACCATCACTGTAAATTTTTGGTACAAGGTAGTATGTCTAAATTTAATATAGTATAAAGTTTTATAAATAGACTTGTGTTTTAATTGCAAAATTATAATTGCAGTATGATACTGATTATTGCATCATAATATATATATATATATATATATATCATTTTTCTACGTTTATTTAAATGATCAAAATTGCGTCAGCTGCTAAAATGGACTTGAATTCTTAGCTTGATTTCTTAAGAGATAACCTTGTAATACTTAAGTTGAAATAGTGAACTCTTCATCCTAGCTCTTCTAGAGAGAAGTGTATCTATAGTGCCTTCAAGTCAGCGTAGTCTCCTGGTGACTGCCTAGAATAGTCCCTGCAGTTTCCTTGGCAAGATTCAGAACCGGCTTGTTTCTCGCCTGATACTACTTCACCAAACTGACTTCCTTTAAAGAAATAAGCTTTTGTTTTTTTAAAAATGGGTGGTAGTATTAGAAATAGTATTTTTGACCAGTCACTTGCCTAAACATCTTTTCATATGATACGTGCTATTTAATAGATAAGAAAATACCAACTCACTTTTTCTCATCTCTGACTTTTATTAGCTTCTTGCTTTTTTAGTGCTAGGTGTATGTAAGGTTTTTTAAAGCACTGAATCATTGTAAATCTGTTGGTCTTTTCAGTTTCCTTTTTATCTTACTGGTACCCCAGAACGAGGGGTATAAATAATAATGTCCAGATAATCAATGTCTCCATTGGAATCTGTTTTCAATTTCATTTTTGTAAATGTTTCAACTTGATGAACCCTTTTTTAAGGAAGGTATTTTTCTCCACACAGGGTGCTCCAACTCCTAAAAGGATTGAATACCCCCTAAAGGCTCATCAGAAAGTAGCTGTAATGAGGAACATAGAGAAAATGTTGGGGGAGGCACTTGGAAATCCACAAGAGGTAAAGTATGGATCTCAGACTGGCTATAGTAACCACATGGCTGAGCTTGTTCAGCTTTTGGTCTCATAAAATAAAATAATAGCATAACAAATGGAAGATGTTACATATTTAACACCTTAAAATCGGTGGCGATGGGGTAGGATAGAGCAGTATTTTTCAATCTTAGCAACTTTTAAGATGGGTAGATTTCAAATACTAGCATGCTAGGAGAATTCTGGGAGTTTGGAAGTCCATACTTATTGCCAAAATTGACACTGGGATAGAGCATTCAAAGTGTTAGCAGCAGTTCTGAAGATCATAGTATTACTCAAGTCTTTAAGAGGGATTTTTGTGTTTACTAGACTAGGCATTATAAGTTCAGCATTTTCTGTGTCAAGAACAAAAGTTTTGACTTGGCTTAAACAAGCATAAATTGAAGCAGATGCCTCATTCAACATCTAAATTGTGTTTTGGAATAGCTACAACTTTTAGGCTAATTAGGAGAGTGGCTAAAATGAAATTAACTGCCACCTTAATTTTTATGATAAAAATTTTCCTCACTTGTAAAGTGATTGTTCAAACATTAAATAAATTATGACTTCTGATATTTACATTAGCATATCTTTCTGCACTGCTTGGAATATAGAATGTAGGAACTTATTGAGCAACTGTTTCAATAGCTCTGGAAAAAGGACTGGTCCTTGAACTTGCAGCTGTCACAGTGTCTCTGAGATCACAGAATCACAGTTTAGGCATTTGGCAACCAGCATATCTTTATAATGATTACAGCATCCCTCAATCACATGATTGCCGTTTGGAGACCTTCATAGCTGGGTTCCAAGAAGCAAAGTCAGTGGGGAAGCTATCAGGAACTGGGAAGTCATGGTTATGTCACGCTTAATGACTATGGTGGTACATTCTTAACTACATCTGAAACTGATGTCAGTTGATGGTGATGTTTTTACTTTACCATAGCCTTAGCAATGAGGTTGCTGGTCCAGATTGCAGCCAGTGAGGACAATTTGTTGACCAGTTTTATAAAGTGTGTGTGTGTGTGTGTGTGTGTGTGTGTGTGTGTTTATGGTTCTAGGTATTCACTAAATGTTATCATTGAGGAATACTTTTTGAAAAGATCACTGTTACTTGAGAGAATTGACAGACATTCTCATGAGTGAGTGCTTAAAATAATTTGTTTATGATGCTGACATTAAATACTTAACATTTATTTTCTGGTGTATAATGTATAGTTTTGCAGTTCAATATGATTTCTAGTCTGTTGATAAAGCTGTAGCTAATAAAGCAATGTGTTTTGTTGTTTTTCCTTTGAGCAGGTGGGCCCCCTGTTGAATATGATGATCAAAGGGCGGTATGACTAATCTTGGACTTCTGCAGGATATTGGAGCCATTTCACCTAAAGGGGGAAGATATTAAGCGCTAATATTGCACACAGCACTTAAAAACAGATGGATTCTTGATCCAGCTCTGATCCACTCTGCCCACCTAGGGGAATGACTAGAACTCTGAAATGTTCCATTTGTCCCTCCTTCAACTTCACCAAACCTTATAGAATAATTCATCCTGAAACCATCACCAGTAACTCTTATGTTCTCCATCTGCCTAGATACAACAATTGGCACCCAGTACTTGATGATATTTATTTGTGATAGCACCTTTGTGATCACCTACATAAGAATTACCCCAGGAACAATTTTGATTTTCCTTCTATATTTCAGTGTTAGGAATCAACACGGATAACTTTCAACTGTAAATCAACTCATATCTATAATTAGCATATTTTCTTAAAGGCTACCTTCTCTTTGATATTGCAACTTCTTAAACTAAAGCTCGTTGAGGGATACAGAAATATTAAGGACACAAGAGATGGAGACTTTAAGAGCTTTTAAACCCATTGTGTCATTTTGTCATAAACAATACATTGATTTCTAATTCTATAAAACTAGGCCAAATTGCCTATGTATAGAAATTGACTTTTCCACTCAGGACGTTAATAGAATGGGACAAGCCATAGCGAGTGCCCTTAGTCAATAAAACCTGTGTGTCATATTTTTCACTTAGCCATGCATGGTTATACTTCCTCATTGCACTCTGCCTTCTCTAGGCCAAATTAAGTGCCAGATCAGTTGGTAAAGAGAAGAGAGCAGCAAAGCTTTTTTTTTAAATTTCCATTTTGCTCTTTCATATGTCTGGAAAGAGATAGGAATATGGGCTTTGTAATTGTATTTCATTAACCAAGGAATGCAGATTTTAGAGTTTAACTTCTAGATAACGAAGGAAAAGTTTCTTCACAAAGTCACTTTTCTATGAGAGTTTAGAAGACCCATCCTGGGTCATTGATTTTTTTTGAAGATCATTGATATTTTCCAGCAAGATAGATGAAAGTTAGATATTGGGACAACATATACATAACCAGAGTTTCTGGGATCCTCTGCATTCCTGTTTACTGTGAATTCTATACAGAGCTGAACAAGTGTCTGAAGCCAGGATTCTTGGCTTTTTTCGGGGAAGGTTGAACCTGAAAATGCCATGCAGCTTTGTTACAAGTAAAGCCTTTGATATAGTTTCAAGCCACAAGGAGGCAGCAGAAGACCAGCATTCCTGATGCTATCACAGGAAGAAGGTGGCTTTCAGAGGGCAACATTGGACTTGATGAATAGTAATATCAATAAAATCATTCTGCCTTTGGCTGAAACAAAGCAATTCCTGTGTTTAGTCCTTGATGTGAAATGGCACCCCAGAATGGACCTGTGGAATATTGTGTATTTATGTAGAAAAGCCCAGCTTGTCATTAGAAAGAAGACGAATGGAAATCCACCCTTCCAATATGTTTTTCTTTTTGCCAAAGGTGTAAATTTGAAAATGTCTAAATAGTTGGTTTGGGAAAAGAATACATTGCACTTTAATAGTGCAAAAGCTTAATTTACAATGCACTGATAAAAGACAGTTTTAGGTACTGTTAACTTTTGTTTTTTTAATCTTGTGTTTTGATGCCTGCTGTTGGGAAAAATTGTGTCTAGTGTGAAAAAATGTGGGAAATACATAATACCTTCTGAAATGTAGTTCCTAAAATACAGCTGCTGTTGAATTACACAAATACCTGTTCCCCTTCATTCTATATGATATGTATTCCTCATCTTATGGGAAGGGCAATAATTTGAAATTCGTTTTGAACATTCAGTTCTCATGATCTTGTGATTTATATGAAGGTTAAAAGGTAATAATTGCTACTGGTGACATTTTCCCCTTTAGTGTACTGTATATAATTAGATTAATCAATCAATCATGAAATTGTCTTGCAGATGAAGTAGTATCTCCTCTGGACACCTATAAGAGCTTGTCCCCTGCCAATACATTTGGATTGATGCTTTCTTTACACACCCTTTGTGTCCCCAGCTATCTGTTCATTTTTGTTTGGGAGGGGTGAGGGGCAGATCCCCACAACGTGTCCTGCTCCACAGAAGAATTTCCAACTACAATATCTTTTTTTCTTTCATAACACGAATCCTGCATATACCTTTGCAAAACAAATATTAAGATGCAATTAACAGATTTCCTAAGAACACTTAATAATAGAATTTTGATATTTTAATACGTACTTCTAAAGGGTTAATATGTAGGAATGTGACTTTTTTTCATATAAGATGTGACAAGAATTGATAATATTCAGCTGAAATACAGGGTAGTCTTTTTCAAAATCAGTATGCGAAGCTAACTTTCCTTACTGCCTTGTGATGTGAAAAGATCATCTCCATTATTGCATCAGGCTTTTAAATTGTGCTAGAAACCAATCCATAAGTTATATAGGCTCTCCATCTCAGAAAATTACCCACTTTGTTGCTTTTTACATCTTGAATCATATCTAAGATTGCATTCATGTATTCATTACATGTATGTATGGGAAGCTTTAAATTCTGACAATAGTGAATCTCAGTATATGCTAAAAAATGAGAAATAGAATCATTCCAGTGGACAGATTGAATTTATTATAGGTGATGGGGAAAATTGGCACCGATCAATGACAGAACACATTTATATAACAACAAAAAACATGGGAAGCAATTCATATAAGGAAATCAATTTAATTAGGATGCTGACTGGGGAATTCTGGGAGTTGAATTCCACACATCTTCAAGCAGCAGAGGTTGAGAAACTCCTAAAAAGAATATAGAGAAAAGGAGAATATTTTGTAAGTACAGCAAGAAAAGTGATGCTAGGAATGGGATCAACAGTGAGGCGTCTGAGGTGTTGATGAGGCCATCAAAGCTAACAAGTTTTTCCAACATTCAGAATTTGCCTTTCTGTGATGAAACCCATTATTCTGGGACCTGCATGGTGGGAGGGCAGATTTGGCCATTTTTATGACATCCTTTCAGGGTATCAAAGTGTGCTATATACTTATGGTACTTTACTTATCTCTTCTTCACGGCTAAGCGTTTCTGATTCCTTGTTCTTTGTTCATAAATTTTAGTCTGTAGTCTCCCAATAGTTCTTCAATCATATCTTAAGCAAATTAAAACATTAAAAAGAACTTGAACCCTTGCGTGGCAGAAAGTTAGTGATATTCCCAACAATGTTTTGATTTCCAAATGGGCCACACAGACTTGGGGAATAAAACTATCACTATCTGACATTTACCACCCCAAAAAGGACTCCCATGAAGTAGCTCCAGCCAAACTCAGCTTCTACAGCCTTTCCCGAATAATGAATGCAAAGAACTCAACAGCCCTGTGATTCTGTTCTACTAATATACAGGATTACATTTCCCCATCTCATTGGAACTCCAAATTTTATCTTAATATAAAAGCCAGCTGGAAATGAATGTAGAAGATAATTTCATCCAAGAGTATTTGAAATAGCCTAACAATCACTTGTTCAATCACTTCCAAGAAAGGAATTTTGATAGTCAACTTTTAATAGTTAATACTTTTCTGATCTTCAGGAGGGGCCGGATTCCTGCTTTAAAGAAAGGATAGTGCCTGCAAGGGGGGGGAGGGGAATGGTTTCCTTTCCAAAGTCATAGTACCCATGACCAGCTGAAGTTGCATGCTGCATCTGGCAGGCCACAGACTGCCCAACAAGCAAGGAAATCCTCTTCCTGCTCTATTTAATAAACAACATGCTACAGTATTTTATATATCTTTATTAGCTGCATACCTGCTGCTGTTCAGAAGCTTTTAGCAATTAATGCAATAAAATGATATGTAGGGAGATAATAATTTGCATATATTGCAAGATTTAATTATTAATAAAAGATGTAATCCTTTGATACAATCTTTTTGGAGTGATGCTATCACCTCATTGAGTTAAGTATATCCAAGCAGTTTAGATATAATGTCTTTAGATATATATGTGTTGACCTGAGAATTATCAACACATTTTAAATACAGATTTTTTTTCCATCAGTTTTTATTTTGGTTTTAACTAAAAACTAGAGAACCTGTGATTCTTTGGGCCATATATTTCCTTATCACAGGGGCCACTAAGCCTTGGGTCGTGGCCTGGAACTGGGCCATGGTTCATTTGGAACTGGGCCATGCAAGCGGCAGGGACATGCAGTTGTATGTACAACTCCATTTGCGTGAGCGTCCACCCACTAGAACCCTTGGACAATTTCCCATCTTGTACCTTTTCCTCCTACACAGATGGTACATTTTTTTCCAAACTGTAACAACCCATTGGGTTGAAAACTACAGATTACTGGACATTAGAATATTAAGCAACAGCCTGGTCAGAGTTTGGGGAAATGAATTCTATTGTAACCTAGATATAGCACCAGGAATAGAAGATCTAGGGATACAGTCATCAGCGTGTTCTATCTACTTCGTTTTCATAGTAGATTGAAAAAATGAATTTTAATGTGGAGAAAAGCAAAGCTTTACATTTAGGGAGGAAAAACCAAAAGTATAAGTATGGATTAGGCGGACCTGGCTCAAAAAGAGTAACTGTGAAAGGGACCTTGGAGTTCTAGTGGATGATCAAGATTATGTGAAGTATTAATGCCATTTTACAAACCCTAGTAAGACCACATTTGGAATACTGCAAACCAATGTTTGGTCACCATGCTACAAAAAAGATGTTGAGACTTTGGAAAAAGTTCAGAGAAGAGCAAGTAAGATGATCAAAGGCCTGAATACTAAACCATACGAAGAACAGCTGCAGGTTTTGGGTTTGGCTACTCTAAAGAAAAGAAGAATTAGGGATGACATGATAGCAGTATTTCAGTATTTGAGAGGCTGCCACAAAGAAGAGGAAGTCAAATTATTCTCCAAAGCACCAGACAAGGACAAGAAATAGTGGTTGGAAACTGATCAAAGAACAACTGGGAATTAAGGAGAAACTTCATAATAATGAAAATTAACCAGTGAAACAGATTGCCTTCAGAAATTGTGGGTGCTCCATCACTGGACAGTGTGGAGAGAGACTGAACATTCACTTGTCTGAGATTGCATAGTTATCCTGCTTGAGCAGGGGGCTGGACTAGAAGACCTCCAAGGTCCCTTTCAGATTCTATCCTATCCTACCCTATTCTAGATTTATTGTTATTTAACAAAAAATTAGCCATTCATCCAATGCTCAGATATCAGGGAAAGACCTGATAAACGAGGGACAACCCTTGAGTAAGAGTAAGATCAGAAACCCAACTAGAGCACATGGAACCAGGGGTGGGATTCTACCGGTTTGCACCTATTTGCTAGAACTGGTTGTTAACATTCTAAGCAGTTAGGAGAACCGGTTGTTAGAAGAAATTACTGGCCTAATCCTGTAAGGAAGGCAGGAAGGAAACGTTCTGGCGTTGCTTACAGAAACTGCCTCTCCATTAACCCTTATTACATTCTTGGCAGGACTAGACTTCCTGTCTCTGGAACTTCTCTGGAGTTTTTTTCCCCTCCTTTGTTGGTACTTTGCTTGTGTGGAGTGACCATTCAAAGTTACAATGGCACGGAAAAAAGTGACTTATAACCATTTTTCACACTTACGACTATTGCAGCATCCCCATAGTCATGAGAGGCCAGATGAGGAGATGCGTGCCTCGATGTGAGTGATGTTGAGTTGGCCACGCCCAGCCAGTCACATGACCACCAAGCCACGCCCACCACCTAAGCCACGCCCACAGAACTGATTGTTAAAAAAATTAAATCCCACCCCTGCATGGAACTCACAATATAGCATTGAACATTTTGGAGAAGTGTAGGTGTCTTCACAATGTTGTCATTCCTCCAATTTTCTGGACAATCTGTCTGAGAAATGGAAGCATGGGGAAGCTTGGAAATTTTACCCTTCCCCAAGCAAGTCTATGAGCTCTAATTACTGCCTCACAAAGTCAAATATTTGTTGCAAGCAGAGGATGAAGTGAAAGGGGTGGGGAACAGCCATGGCTGCTCCTGCAAATAACACGAACAGATGCCTGTATGCCTTAGGGAAACACAGTTTTCTTCTGCAAATCAGAGCTTTAAATTACAAGGCTTTTACTGATGCCAACAATTGTGGAAAGTCATTTACGTAATGATTTTTGTCACTGCTGATTAGACAGTAGATGAAAGAAAGAAGTTTGACAATTAGGAATGAATGGCCAGTAATCAGAAATTTGGTTAGGAAAAGAGCCCCCTTTATGTTTTATGTTCCAGAGCAGCACACTTTTGCACCTGCTGAGAGATACATTCCAAACCTGGTAGGATTTGATCAGAATTTTGCTGTTGATTCCGGAGTATTAGCTACACAATATAACAGATAAAACAACCCAAAGAGGCAAAACCAGGAGCGGAGGTGGGTGGGTGGAAACGACACAATTTTATGCAAGCAGAATTGGATGAGGGGGGCTTAACTAATGTAATTCTTAATCCAGAGACTACCCTACATTGTTAAAACATGCCAAGGAAAAATGGTTAAGTTTCAGACCTGGGCATAGAAAACATTGGTTGTCCTAAACTGTTCCCAGTGATAGAACCGGGACAGAATGCTTTGACTATCTTGGTTCTTTTCTTTTTCTTGAATCACTGTTGAAGACTCTCAGCAGTCTACAATACCATCAACCATTATACATTTCTGACTTAGATGAGTGAATAGCAGGGGAACTTATCAAATTTGTG